ACCCGAGTGACCCAAAATTCCTTCTGGAATCACCCTGTGCGCGCACACACACACACACACACACTCTCTCTCTCTGTCTCTCAGCGCCGTCACAGCCGATCCATTGAAGAAGATGACGGGGACGGGGGGTACTGGCTTTCTCGACTAAAATTGCCTCTTGGACTATCCCTGAGCGGGCTCAGTAGAGAGGCCGAGATGACCGATGGCCGAGTCGTACTTGGAAGCCAACTGTGGGAAAAGAGGCGATGTGCATGAATGATGAGAGAGGTAGATAGATGGGCTGAATATTGCGTGCAGACTTGGGACGGCGATCAAGCTATTCGGAGGGTAATGGGTAGATGAGGAAAATACGCGTGAACGAGTTGAATAGTGTTCGGCCGGCGGCGGCCAGTAGTAGCAATAGGTGATGAGCAGTGATCGTTGAGCACCAGGAAGCTTCATCAGACAAGTGTGTGATCACCTCTTGACAGATGCCCTGTTTGGACGACCTGTGCTCGATGGTTGCACTGCAACTTCTTGATAGCGCCGGTGCATGAGAGTGATGTGCCGTCTAGCAGCCCCTGCAATACCGCGGCCCCCAAACTTCCTACATCAGGATAGACGTGAGGGTGACACTAGACACTCGAGGGGAGCAGAAGGGTGACGCAGATGCAGCAGGCGCCCATTCCAACCAAGTAGACAATGCACCTGATCGACACCGAAGCTTGACTACGACAAAAACATGGAGAGGGGCCGAGATGGAGACGAACGGGGCGTATACGACGGGGCAGAAGGATGGGTAGTGAGTATCGAAACAATGAAGTGCGTACGTACCTCTCTTTCTGCGTGTAGTGTATCCGTACAGAGTAGTGTTTTGTGACGGGGATGCCAAGGTTGCCTGCCGGTGAAAATGACAGACTTCTACGGATACTTCTTTTCTCGCTGGATGAGTTGATTTGTATCGGTATCAGCAACGCGAATGTGGGCACGCGGGTAGGTGGGTTCGTTAGAGTCAACAGTCGTGTGTCGGATCGTCGTCCAAAGTCAGCAACTGAGGCGTATGGGGAATCTTGACACTTGTTATAAGATTGAGACCCGCGGGAGATGAACGACAAGGCGAGAGTCGAGATTGGCTGCGGCGGCCCAGGAGCTGCCGATTGCGTCGACTTCTTTATGCTTGATCCAGTGCCGAAAGGGCGAGTCTGTCGGCCGGGCGTCCTCCTGGGACCTTGGGGTGGGAGCCTGGGAGGGGACCACACAGAGTCAACGGTGACCAGGGGTACCGCCGCAAGTCAAGGCCCCGGCGGATCGGGGACATAGGACAGAAAAGGTTGAGTTGCACAGCGCTACTTTTGGATTGCTTGCCGTCCTTTGGGATGGGGGGGGGGGGGGCAGTGTCCGGGATGGGCTCCTGACGACGGTTTACGCGGACAAGCCGTTGGATGTTGCGGTAGGTGGTGACAAGCTTTGGGACGAGATGGCGTGTGTGGGTTCTGCTGTGTTGGCTGGAGCGTGACGGCAATGAGCAAGAGTCCGAACGACGGGAATACTTGTCTGGGCACAAGTACATAGAGTTAGGAAATCCCGAGAACCCCACTGATAATCAACTTAAGCAATGTGCTTGGTACAGTACGCTACGACGGATACTATGTACAGAGCACCCTTGGGTTTGCGAGCAACGGGGGTAAGGATGATGGATGACGACGCCAGTTGGGCGCAGTTTGAAGTGATTGGAGGGGGCACAGGATGATAATGGTAGTCTCCCGTACGGATATGTGGGCTGAGATGGATGGACAACGATTGACGGGGCGGAAAATTTAAGGTCAAGGAGAGACTTGGGTACGCCGTCAGAGACTCAAGATTATGCAGGCGGTTTCCCCATCAAAGGCGACGAGGCCGCGGAAGTCTACCACTCTACGGACACGCAGTACCTACCTTACTACACGGCCATGCCAGGCGTGCTGTGTCAAGACTCGCGAGGGCTTCGGGATCGGGATGTGGGAGAGTGGGTAAAGAGGGAACATCTGTCCAGTGTCCCAGCGAGTCTCAAGGTCTCAAGCCCCAACTTTTTCCCACGCCGCCAGGTCTCCCGAAAAAGAGCTTGTTCTGGCCCAGAGCTCAAGAGCCGTCAAACAAGCGTGGCGACGGGTTCAGGGGAGAGCCACACGATGGGGAGAGAGCTGCGTACGTCTTCGGGAAGCGGGAGGTGCTCGGAGGAGGCTACCTATGCGTACAAACGGGAGTAAAGAATGAGGGGCCCAAGGCAATGGTGAGGATGAACTACCACGCAGTCTTTCTCCGTACGCATTTGTTGCTCCATCCGATAGGGGAAATAAGGGAATAAAGCATGGTGTAGCGTGATGGCTTAACTTACTTTGGATAGTATCGATGGTCCTCCCACGTACCAGCCGGACGGTCTGTTCTTTTTTTGGGATCTAGGCGCTGGGGATAATGGAGACTGTGCTGAACAGGAACGCGGCGTAGGTTGGTGAGGCTGATGATGACGACGAGTCGGCCGGCAGCGTACGTATGTCTCTGGAGGATGTTAATTAACTGTAGGCAAGTCTCCTCCCTTCCCTCGGTGGGTGATACCCCTTCTAGTTGAAGCCTCGATGCCTCGGTCGATAGAGAAAGGGGCGTATGGAGTACTCTCTGGAGAGCAGAATGAATGGTTCGTCAGGCTAAGCTTCTCAAATTGATGCAAGCTTCAGCTATCTCTGATCGGTCGGTGGCCGCAACCGTAGCAGCCGTAGCCGCGGAGCCGGATGCTCTGTACTTGTGCGGGTATCCGGCAGAGGTGACTGATGGAGCGAGACTCTCAGAGTCAGGTTGATGGTTGATGCTGTGGTGAGGAGAAGGCGCACAATCGGGGCTCCTAACCGGGAATAAGCTCAAATCGATAGGCTCTCTCTTAATTTTGGAGTTGGCTCGGGCGGAATGATTGTCGTCAGGGTCTGGGTCTGGCGTGCCGACTGATCCAGATGGCGCGTTTGCTGTGCCTCAGCCCCCAACCACCACCACAAGTGAGTGCTGTCGGTGCCGAAAAGGCAGCAGGTTGAGCTGGTTTTCACTCCAACTCGGAGCTCGGATTCCCTCCACAATGGTGGCGCTCCCCCGTGCGAGTCTCTCAGGCTCCTAGACGTGAGAATGTTTCTCCCGGTAGCTGACCTTTTAAGACGTAACGGAGTGCTCAGTCTGTGATGGGGAGGCCGATTTCGCGGTGAAATAAGCCAGACCTCTCCGGACGGCTTATCGCTGGTTTCTGCAAGATGGCGAAATCGGTATGGCGCCTAGTCCCTCCATGTGATGAATCGAGTTGCAGCGAGGTAGGTATCCGTAGGTGGGTAGTCTGTTCACAACACTGGTGAGGATGGGGAAAAACCGGGGTTATTTGCTGGACGGCGGATGAAGACGACAATGAAGGATGACAAGGCCGCGAATAATAATTTAAAGCTGGACCAAACACATGCGTCGGCAAAAGAAGTAAATGAAGGCGATAAGATGGATGTGACGGCGAGCGGGAGGGTGTGGGCGTTGCATCCGTCAAAGATGGATGTGACGGCCGTTGCATGGGCGATTTGATTTCGCAGTCAGATCGGCCGTCCACCCATGATTCTTTCTTCGGTATCTCTCTGTGTGAGAGGTGACGGTCGTCAAAACTGCCTTTCTATCCGTGTGTTGCTGTTCAGGAGCAGAGAGTCAAGACTGCTTCGGAAAGTCTCGAAGCGTCGTGTCCACGGTGAGGAACACGCAAATGCCCGCGACGATTGCCGGTGTACCATAACTTGGGACGGGATCGAGAGCGATGCGATGGGGACGATGGGGACGATTGGGAGACTGGAGACTAGAGTCTGCAAGATGGGATCCAATGTCTGTGTCGTGGAATTGCATGCCGGTCAAGGTTCAGGTCGGCCGGGATGGGACGGGGGAGACTGGAGATTTGCGGGAGAAACCTTGCTGGAAGAGGTGGAAGGGACGGCACGGCACTATTCTTTCCCTTTTCCTCTTTTTGACCATTATGTTCCTTGACCTTCTTTTTTTCTAATGGCACTACCTAAGGTACTTGCTTAATCAAGATGGAAGGAGGAGGAAGGTCTCTGTCGTTGTGGACAGGAAGGAGCTCTCACGACATGTGGGTGCATTTGGCAGGCACGGCAGACACAGGTATGGAAGGCAGGCGCAGGCACCAATTGGTGTGTGGAAAGTGGGTTGCAGACTCAGGGTGGAAGGTGCAGGCTGACGAGAAGGTATCGTGGGTACGTACCGCCGACCTTCCTTCCCTCCCTTCTCGAAAAGAATTCAAGCTTATTTCAACAGTCGCTGCACCAAGCTTTTTCGAAGTGGAGGCCAATGTGTCCGAAAAGATACGTACACAGACTGAACCACTCACCGTCATCCCTTGTTCTGTGGGTGGGAATGTCCGACCGAGTCAGGGGCGTGGGGATAGGCCGCCTCAATGGGGGTGCAGACAGACATCACTCAGAAGTACGTACACAGATAGTTGACCATCAGCAAGAGGAGAACTGATACGAAAAGGGTAAAAACACGACAATGTTGCAACATCAAATAGAATAGAGCATCAAGGCCAAGGCTGAGCAATGGGCAGACGCAGAAACGCAAGAAAAGGAACGATTACGATGCGCCGCCGAGGCTCAATTCTCCACCATAATGGCATTCCTCCTCAGCAGGGCCCATTATCCATCACATCCACTCAGCACACACAAGATAAAGTCACTTTTGGGTGCAGGTCACAGCCTAACGGTACCTGCAATAACTCCACACCCTCCTTTCGAACAGCGCCCTTTTCCAAGGCTGCCAAGCCAAGACAAGCCCGCAGCCACCGCCGGCCCCACTAGAGAAGGTATACTGCGTACCAAGTATCGCTGCGCTGACCTTTCAGAGCGGTGGTCCGCGTGGGTGGATTACTGTTGTATTTCCTCGAGAAATGGTAAGTGTGGATAAGAAATCTGCATTATTTGTTCCGTGCTTCCCGCCGGCAAAACGTCACCACCACTGTATCCGAGATCGAGGGTCCCACCCACCGCCCCATCCTCTTCTCTGTGCACTCTCTTTGGCTCCCGTCTGCTTTTCTTTGCTGCAAACGAAGCACCATAATCCCTCGATGCTCACTCAAAAACCGCAGTACTGAGTACCGTCACATCCGTCCAAAACGTTACTTTCTACCCGTGCCAGCAGTCAGCCAGCGGAACACGGAAGCAACGAAACGGAACCACAGGAAAATAACCACTAAATATCCATCCGCACCAGGTGGAGACTCGATCGCCGATAAAGTGTTGCCTCCAATTCCGTTATTCCGTGTCCCCAATACCAATACAACGCGACCGCCGCCGCAACGGACAGCATGTCGAAACGAGTCGTGTGTGTTCGTTGTTTATTACAAAAATGAGCAAGAAAAAAACGTGCCGCATCTTCCACCTTTCCCGGGCCACACAAACAAGGAATCCCGTTCCAGAAGAAGGAACATCTAATCGTGCCAATCCATCTATCTGTACCTAAATCTTTCGTTTAGGCCCCCATTCTGCACCATAAAGATTATCCCGCGGACGGCCGGTCGATTGTCCAAAAAAGCAAGCCAGGCCAGAACTCTACAGACTGAGCACAAACTCCGTACATGAACTTAACCTCGTATAAGCAAAAGTACGTCTGACTAAAAAAGCCAAAATGGGATCAGGGTCTGGGAATCACTACCAACAAGAGGTATCGTCTGGCCGCGCTGACTACGTGCAGACCACCGAATCTGTAGGCTAAAATCACTAACCTTTCCCCCCTTGCTTGCCCCGTACTCCCGTCTCGGGAAAAGGATGCACCAACGTCTCATTCCGCGATAGCGAACTCAACACAAGGTTCTATAGAGCACTGTGACGGGGCGAGCTTGGAAGGGGTGGGCGTAAGTCGGCTCCCACTGAATTCTGCCCCCCTTCCATCTGACCTAACAAGCATTGGTAATTCTTATTCACTCTGGTAAAACACCCGACGAAGACAAATAGAGTATCCAGCCAGCGGCAAGACTGAGCAGAAAAATCGTCAAAAGAAGACACATAGCAGAGACTCTATGACTGCGAACAAGGTTAAGTCCGTTCCGTTGTGTCCGCCAGCCTAGTCTATGGTTGGTAGCCACTAAGAAACCAGATGTCAAGTCCAAATTAAACTAAGGGAAACTAAAAAGGAAATGGAAAATAAAAATCCAAATCAAACCGTCCGCCAAATACGGTGCACTGCAAGTAGACAGGCTTTGACACGCCCCCTTCCTGACCGCGTAGCCAAAGAATGAACGAAACCCTAAATCTGCCATTTGGCGCCCATCGGCCAGTCTTGGCGAAATGACACATACCAAGAAGGCTATGTGGACGTCCCAAGACCCCGAGGCCAGTAAACAGTGCAGGATACTGCTAAGGACCGGGATGGATGGGCAGTATAAGACACAATGCACGAAGAAACTGTTCCATGTCGATCCATGATCTGCTTGCTGCTCACTCTCATGTGCCATTAAGAAAATTTGCCTTCTTTTTTTGAGTTTCTCTTGGCTCTTGGTGATTGTTTTTGCTTGGCGTGTCCACGAGCGGACCTTTCTGGAGAGACATTCAATGTGCTCAGCCACTCCGTCCAAGACATTTAACTCATTCGAATCCAAGAGAGAAAAAACATTCTGAGCGGCAGAGACCATTGGCGCTCAAGCCAAGAAACCGGCAATTGTATAAAACCCTCAAATGGACCAGACGGGCATTTCACATTTCATGATGCTCCGGCGTATTGCTTACGCTCACTTCTGTCATTAGCCAAGCCTAAAAGCATAACCCTAAACGGAGATGCATCACCTAAAGAGGTCATAGAAAGTCTAGAAGATCTGACCAAAAAAACTAAGGGAAAACCTTGTCTATCCCACAGGCCTGCATACGGGTAGACGAAATTTAAGAAACTCCAATCCAATCCAGACTTCAGTCTTTCTTCAGTATGACGCCCACCCCGGGCACACATCACACGCCAATTCAAACGCCCGTATCCAATCAAACCACCCCGATGCTTAAATCAAAGCAAACACCCCCCATGTTCGCAGCTCTACAAAGACTACGGAGTACGCAGGGGAAACTATCAAGCTCACATGTTTCTTTGTCGGTCGGCCTCTCATTCTCTATCGCAAATCCTGCCAATCCTCACTGGACGGGGAATTAACCATAATCTTAGCCACAAGCAATAAGAAGAAGACTAAAAAAGCTGATCTAACCGCAAACCCAGGCCTCTCTTCGCAGCCGCACCGCAAACCCCTGCCCTGCCGCGGCGCCGCCCCCTCTCCGTGCCGTATCCCGCTCGTAACTCGTTTACCAAGGGGCCATGACCAATAGTCAACCCATATTTACCAAGCCGACGTTGGCCGTGCAGGAACTCCCTCATCCTTCTAGGCAAAAACAAGGTCGCGGGCTACCTTAGTGTTCCAGGCAGACAGGCACGCCGGGCTCAGGTCGGAAGACTACACTATGCAGACCGTGCTTTAGCGAAGCGGATCACGAAAGGTTCTGCAAAGAACGAAAAGAAAAAAAGTTTACCTAAAATCCCCTCCAACTTCCCTCCTCGTACAGGCGGCCGCACATTGCCAAGCAAATCGGAGGTTAGTCAAGGACTCAAGAATGAAGCCAACATTCTTCTACGTAGTCCTTTCCTTTCTCGCTCGTCAAGTACTCCATTCTTGGTATGGTCGAGAACCACTGACAGACCGAAGTAGGGCCCGGGCTGGGGTGCTGGGCAGAAAAACCTTGTAAAAAGGGCCTTCTGGGAACAGAAAAACCACCCGTATCCGTACAGGCAAACGCTTATTTCAGCGAGGAACCATCACTTTGTTTTATGACAGAATTGTCTATCGGACCATCGCTATTTCTCTCGTGATTCTTTCGCTGTCTAGTGAATTGATAGATACTGATAGGCCACACCGAAAATGACGGTGCAGAGCAATTCCATTTCTGACCCTCTTGAGCGTCTCCCTTATGCTCTCACGAGTCGCAGGCTCATCTTGCTCGGGCATCGCCATATCAAGACTTTGGCTGCCCGCCAGGGTTCCTGAATCGGCTTCGAGATCCTCCCCACTGCCTCAGCCCTTTCTCACACAAACTCACATGACAATCTGTCCCCCCGACTCATGTTTGCTTACTCTACTTTATTCCCGTGCCAGCCTCGCCCTCCCGCATCCCGTGGGCTAGCGATACCAAGCTTTTGGACACAAACCCGCTCGAGAATCGTGCCATCGTCGTTTCTTTGTCTTTTCCCGATCTCCACTAGCTCATGGGATCGTTGATTCAGAGGTTCGCAACCGGTATCTCTAGACGCATAGCTAGCCTATGCCTCACTTACCCCTCCTCCTCCCTCTCTTTTTCACCAAAGTTCATAGTCACCTTGCCCTTTCGTTGAATGCGCCGACTAGCCAAACCATGACACAATGGGAACTTATCAAATTCTCGGCGCCCAGGCTTGATCCAGGTAGTTCACTTTTGAATAATAATCGACCGCTTCCTACACCCCACTCCCCTTGTTCACAGTAAGGAGAGAAAAACGTGTCCTCTGCATACCCGTATAATACGACCTTATTACGAATAAACTCGAGCGGAAACTAGCACACATACGGAAAGTCGATGCGCACAAGTGAGAAAGCCGGTGCCGTCCGTCCCAGACTCCTAGGTAAGATGGTAGACCAGGCACCTCCAGAGTCCAGCGACCTGCCCAGATCAGCAGGAGGATGACAGGGTCATACGGGGGGAGCCTATCTCGCTGCATCCGAACGAGATCCAACTGGAGACGGAGCCCGCGCTTACATAGTACATATTGTGCCGCAGCCCGCAGTCCAGGATGATCGAACGAAGACAGCACACACCACCGCCGCCCCGTGCTGTGTGCTGCGGGCGAGCTGCGCTGTAGCCTGGTAGGGGTGATGTGTGAGCTGAGCTGAGCTGAGCAAGGCCACATGAATAGTCAGCTGAAATGAGGCGTGCCAAAAGGTTGAAACATGATCAACTTATTTCTCCATCGCCGCGGTACGATGGTGAGTCCGTTGACCCAATTCTAGCATTCCGGCGAGAGATGGTAAGAGTTCGTTTGTCTCGAGGATGCAGAAGATCCATCCATCATGCGGCTTTCCTCTCCCTTTGCCGTGGAAAAGCAAGCACTCAGTCAAATTGTATGAACCCGTCTATGTCGGCCGCCTATCAAGATCCCCCTTTTGCCCTGGAGGACAATACGGATAATCGCAGTAGGCAAACACCGTCCGTGACTACCCAGTCTCTCGGTTCCGGTTCCCTCGTTTTTTCCTCTTCCTCTTTAAGACGCTGCAAACACACCTGGGGGATGCGCAAACCAGATACCCGGGATCGAACAGCCAGCTCACACACCCTTTCTAACCACGATACTAGGGCACCTAAGGTGCCTCGCTACTGTAATCAACCCGAAAAATCAAATGGCAAGGGAGAAGGTATCATCAGTTGTAATGGAAACGACTCAAGGAAGGATATTCGAGCTCTTCTCGACTCATTCCTCACTCCCCAGACAGCCAACCTCTTGGCTCCCCAGTGTGCCAGTTGCCAATTTACCCCCATCGAAACCACTGCCTCCACGCCCTGCTCGGGTTCGGCCCACCGTCGACATCATCACCATGTCCATCACTGCCTTGAACGAAAAGACTGACCCGTCCCGCAAATCCCCATGACAATAACACAAAGGAGAGGTAAATGCCAAGCAGGATCCCCCCACCTTCCCGTCCGTCGCTATTTCGCCGCGGCCGCCGAGACGATCTCTGACGCTCTCCCTCTTGGCCCCCACCGGAACATCGGTGGCTGAGGAATGAAAAGGGCTGTGTGTTTTAAGGTCGACCTGTCAGTGCCAAATCTTAAAAACCCTAATAAATAGGCCCTGCCGGAAGGTCGCAATATCAGAAAACGGCGACCAATAGTACGGTAATCCCCGAGGCGTGGAGGATGTGCGCGCGTACGTATGTCATGTCAGGAACGCATCACTGTGGGGAAAATGTTCAACCGAAATAGCACATCCATTCATGCGAATGATCGCCGGTGCCCCTTGCTCTTGTCGCTTTCTGTCTTTTCTCAGCCTCAGCTCAACTGCCAGCTTGGTTGATATATGTATCGTGGCTCTTAAGAGCTCAGGTTGATGGACCATTCATTATCCCCATAACCGCGCGGCTGAGTTTACATATTGACGCTGTGTAGGCTGCCTCAGCCAAGATCTTAATGTCTGAAACAGAGTACGTGAATGGGCGATACCACCAACTAACTCTCTGTTACGATATTTACTCACATTGACTTCTGTGTTTGGCAACTGGTTCGGTCTTTTGCCATCTGATATCTCGTGCCTCACATGAATGCCGTCAATCAGCGCACGCAACCTAAACTTCGAAATCTCCCCGATGGAAATACCGGCCGCCTGGATTGATCCGAACTTTCGAGATCAATCCGGGCGCCAGCCAGCAGCCGTGTAACAATTTCAAGCGTGTCCCAGAAAGCGAGTGCCAAAATAACCAGTGCGACCACGACATCCGCTTGCCCCTTCACTACACACGCCCCAATAACAATTACACGTTCCCGTCCCGCGTAAAGTTCACCATCTAGGTTTTCCGTGACTCGAGCGTCTTTTTGGCATCCTGTCAGATGTATAGGATGAACCGATGCAAAAAGTAAGTAAGCAGCAAATCCAAAGGCACTATCCACTAAACCCCGTCCTCCCGGCCTCCGCCATGCTGTCGTCGTCAGCTTTCTTGATGTCTGTGAGATCCGGGCCCCCTTTCGCATCACGCACGGCATGCAGCCCGCCGAGCGCGTGCAGCCTTGGAACCATCGCATCGGTGCTCTTTTACTCTCGTGAGGTCCCTATCCGTGCTCGGTACCGCCATGAAAGTCCGCTCGCAGATGGTAGCCCCATCCGCTCGTGTTAGACGGTACCGCTTCGGCGATGGGCAGAAGGTAATGAGAAGATACCTTGGCTTGCTGGACAATGCGGCTGAGCCAGACGACATCGCAACATCGGCCCAGATTCGTGGACCCCCAACATCAACAGCCAGCCACGAAAAGCCACCAACGCTGTCCCACGAGACCGTCATTCTGCGTGAATTGTATGTAGGTAACCCCACATATGCCAAACAGCTACCAACGCCTCAGCGGTGTCTGTACACCATTTCACGATACCTACACACCGCCGAGTCCTTCTCCCAGTGCCTCCGTCTGTCACCCGTCAGATCCCATTCTCACCGCCCCCTTCGTCAGATTCTCAGTCCCAAGCAGTCTGGTGAGACAGAGCCCAGCTGACACCTGCAACAGCAAACAAGCTGCACCACCGTAACGGGCGGGCACCCATCAACACGGCACAGCATCGCAACACCAACACCAGCGAAACTGACAAAAGCCGTAGTACGGCGTAACCGTAAGTAACCATTTTGACAGCCGAAACCGAAAAAGGGCCCATCCTCCCTCCCTTCCCCTCCTTCTAATCTCTCGACTTTCATCCGTTCCATGGCTTTACCTAGCCCTCTCTCCACGGATCATCAAGCTTAATCTGTCCTCATAGTACTGTGCCAGCCCGCCGGCTGGCCCCTTTCGTATTACGTACTCGGCTGGTTTTAACGTTTTTGGCATATTTGACGGGTCTCGCATGTCCGAAAGCAAACAACCATTGTGTGCCATTCTACATACCCCGTAGCCGCGGCAAGCTTGAACAACGATGGACAATGTCCTTCTCACAGCATCCGTGTACTAGTGAAGTAAATTTCCCTCGGACAAAGTTAGTATGTCTACATGGGCTGTAATTATCACCGATCAGCAACGGGCAGACTATTCCAACACTCAAATCTACGTTCCCGCCCCAAATCTCCAAGAATCTCGTTGCAATCGGCGCTGAGGCCGGCCGCAGCGTTGCATCGCAGGGCGAACCTCCCGGCGTCCGCATTCTCCGAGAAAGGGGGGACCCCGCAAACAACCCCCGGAGAGAGAGCTTCAGCCTTCACCTACTCCAACAAACTCCAACCCTGACCGTCCCATCCGAGATCTCTCTTCCCCCTCACTTTGATTGTTGTCCCCGAGCTTAAAAAGGTCATTAAATGAAGAGGATAGTCCCGGGCCTGGGATATCCCTCGTTGGGACCCCAACGAGTTTCTATCTCGAGAGGCGAAAACGACTTCTACAACGCGACACAGCCTGGCGCCAAGACATGTCAAGTCGCAGTGTTTAACAAAGGAGGGAGGGGGGGAGCCAGTGGGTAAACGGAGGTTACACGGTAACATTAGACGACTTCACCGGTGGCACTTGTAAACCCGTAAACCCTCGAACCGTCCCAAACCGGCCCGTTGTCCTTTCCCCCAAAACGGCGTTGCGATCTCGAGGGAGTTTAGACGTACCGAGAGTGTTCCTAACGGCAACGGGATCCCACATGTAACTGTCGTTTGGGCTTGTTTGACGAAAGGGCATGCGATTCGTGAGACGTTCTCTACCCAAAATTCCTACTTTGACATGTCCCACACTGTACGTCGATCCCAGAAAGCTGGCCACTGTCGAGAAACAAGACCAGCACAAGGTACCTTTTGGTCATGCTTCCATTCGATCTCGTCTATGAGTGACTCTACATGTCGCCTTTTTCTTTCTTTCTGCAGAACGTCTTGGCCGGCAGGATGCATGAGTAGCGAAACAGGCTAAGGTAGACGGGTGGTTGGGTGGGTGTGCTGCACGCAGACACACTTGCGTGCAGGTCTGTGATAACTTGCTCTGCAAATCCAAACCAACCGCGAAATCCAATCAAACTAACCAACTTGCTCTTGTTGCCTGCGTGATGTGGGCGAATCCAGTGGCAGGATGCACTTGTGGTTTGAAGTGTGCGATGCCTGGTCCCCCTGCTTCTCAGATTAAGCGAATCGGGTACTTTTGTTGCCAGAAGCAGACAAGTAGACCTTTCATAGGCGTGCCACAAGAATAATAACCATACGGACAGACTACTTCAATTTACAAGAGTAACGTACGAATAGTTCGCACATGTATCCGTAGCCCGAATTGCTAAACACCTCACAGTTGCATCATGGGTAGCAGAATGAGAGAAGGGGCTCAATACTACTAAACGCCCGTTTCCCGTTCCTTGAATCTAGCACACCATTGCCGAGTCTCCCGTCTACACAACGGGAACACGGCAGACCGAACGGCAAAAGTTAACCGTTGGGTAATTAAGGTAATTACTCAAATGGCAATCTGTATGCCCGCGTGTGCCCATACCAGCAGCGTCATTAAGGTTGGCCCAGAGCTTACACCCCTCACCCAACCTACCTTAGCTCAAGTCTTCTTTTTTTTTTTTCGCTCAAGAGTCCTTCCCTTTGGTCACGAACTGAATTGGACGAACGGAATTCCGGCTCCTGAGGCTCCCCCACCATCATGTCTACAGCCTCCCCCCGGACCCCCTAGGTTCCCCCTCCCTTTGAATTCGTGACCATTGGGGGAATAGAAAGTCGGAGAGAGTTAATACTTAGCGTACTCTATCCGTAGAGACCATCGTTAGAAGCAGGCGCCACGAACCAATCACTAGCGAGCCGAAGAGCCGGGTACTCGTCACCCTTCTACGCAATCTCGGATCAAGGCAAAATGAAATCGTTCGAATGTGCTCAGAGGCACGGAGAAAGATTCCGAGACCCGTCTCGCTGCTGCCATCACAAACAAGACATCATTCAATAGCAGGTCTTTTTTTCTTGAACGGGAAGAGTTGCCGGCGCTGTGATGGAGCCTGTAGCTGCTCTTCCATGGTTAAACTTATCCACCGGTCTGGATCATCCCTCCCCTGTACCTGGAAGGCAGTAAACTTTTCTCGCTCACGGCACAGCGGCTATCAAATAACAAAAAGAAAAGAATGGGAGCTAGCTTTCTCAAGCGAGGCTTGCAAGCCCTTCAACCCGCGCGCCCGCGCCCGCGCATTTGGGAAGCGATGGCGCAGAATCCCTCGGAGATGAGCCCAGATAGACTTTAGGGTGTCCTCTACTTTAACCAGCCTACGGCTCGCGGTATCCGTCCAGGCGAATCACAAGAGGGTAAAAAGGCTTGTTTGCAGGTCCATCAGCCCTGTAGGATGCACGGGGAGAGGGAAAGACTCGAAAGAGGTGTGGCACGCGCGCCCACCCCGGGACCGAGTCAGCAGAGTCAGCAGGAGTCAGCCAGGAGGAATGCTCGTCGATAAAGCTAGATCCCCTTTCAGGATAGCCCGTCATCCGTCTCTCTTCCTTTACATCCAGGTCTAGGATATCTCCGTCTTCAGGTTGGGGCGGTTCACACTCGCTGGATAGTCAGCGGGAAGGCTGACCACTCGGAAGCTGACTACTTCAGTCGACATGGGAGTTGTGATGGCCTGTGGCATTGGCTCGTTCATTTGGGTCGGCTGAGCTTGATTCCCCATCTTCTTGTAACCGGGAGACCCTGGGCCCGACCATTCGAGTCAAGGTATTGTGAAGTCGTAGACAGAATTTAGGTACTGCCACTTCGGCCCACGGCACGAAAGCGTACCCACCGCCAAAGTTCGGGAGTATTATTCTACATGCACGGATACAGAGAGTTTCTAATTCAAAGGGGGCTCATCAAGTACCTACAGATATCCGTACACATGTAAGATAGACGACGATCATCGGCGCATCGGCATCAGCCACAGATTAGCTGGACGCGGGCCCCGTAGCATCCGTATCATTTTGAGAACATGGCTGTCCACTCCTTGGCCTGCCCAAACAGGCACAAACCTGGGCTTGGCGGTGATCCTATGGGTCTTGGGTGAATCAGGATGTGTGTCCCGCTAAACGGCGAACCATTGCACACAAACGAGGGTCAGCCTCTTTCTATTGCTGCCAAGACCAGGTTGGCGTTGCTGGGCATTCCGTGGCACATGTCTGGTGCGCTCGTATCCTTGGGGGCTCGTACTTGGAGTCACGGATTAGTAGCACCATGGACTCTTTTATTCTGATTTGGTGGCTCGTACCAAGAACCGAGTCCTGCTTTCTGTGCGAGAGAAGCGGGTAAAGACTTGGGAAACGGCATGCCCGTCGACCGATTATATCCGTGGGAGTGACGAGAGAAAGAAGAGGCGAGCCACCGGACCGATTGTCCACTGGTGCCGCAGACGCGCACACAATCCGACAGGGTAATTACTGAATACCCTGTGATGTGGGAGAGCCAAGGTTTTCTTCGCTGGACGGGCTAAGCGAAGAAAGGGGTGGAGGATGGGGGGCACACAAGACGCCGATGTATCCTTGCATCAAATCACGGCGGTGGATTAAGCAGAGAGACAAGCTTAGTCCGAGGCGCCAATCAGTACATTCTTCGGGTTGAGCCACGCCCATCTAACCGCTGTTACGCGACCGGATGCCAAGATGACGAGAATTCGACTGAATGATAGATAGACTGGAAGCCTTCGTGGTTGGCCGAGCCAGGAGCGATGACTAGGAAAACTGCCACTGTAAATAAGCCAAGCAGGAGGCCAGCGCCACTGCACCATGAGCAGGTTTAAGCATGAATTTAAGCGTTGTCAGCCACTGCTCCTAGCGTCGTCTTGGTCTTCTTGGCATACCTCACAGCTCCTCTGGGATCTGTCGATGTTCTTCTGGAGGTTGTGGTCGGTAGCCGGGGGGGGGGTGGCTGGAGTAAGGAGGTGCAGTGAAGGCAGCACGATTTTCTTGCTTACGCCCTGTTGGTGAGCGGCGCTGTCTTGGCCACTTATGAGTTATGGAGCCTAACGGACTTTTCGAGGAGCACCGGGTCCGAGAGAGAAACGGTTCTAGAAGGCGAGGCGAGAGACACATCCCACAAGAAGAGATAAAAAGCACGGCTTCAAGAAGTCTAAATAACCCCATGAAGCAATACGCCGCGGATGCAGTCTCTTTCGGCGTCCAGGAATACATTTGGAGTCAACTCAATCTCTTCCTGTTAGTTCTTCTGCGCGCAGCATTGTGTCTCTATCGGTATGCAGTATCTATAGCCGTATCCGTAAATTCTCCAACTTGAGGCGGCAGCTCATAATGAAAGCCGGAATAACCGTCCTCTTGGCATGGGGACGTGGACTGGGCGGTCCATGGTCAAATGTCCGTCCAAGGTTTCCCTCTGCAGCAGATAAAGTGCGCCTTCAGAGCCCAATAAAACCTTCCCCGGTCTCTTCTCTTTTGCTTCCGTCCCGACAAAGGTAAGATGCTTATTCAGACGGGCGGTGAAATACCCTAGATTTAGCCTAGAGTTTAGTGACTATGCGTCTTTGGCTTTTGCGGGAAAAGGTTTATGGTTAAGATTGCAAGAAACCCAAATCGAAGCCCGCGGCTGCCCCCTGCTCGCTTTCGGTCGAGCCGTGGACCGCGCGGGTCTCTCCTTGACAGCCTGACAGGATTCCCCGACATTGGAAGAGTCGATGATAATGCTTATCTCGTTGCTTAGGATCGTTCATGACTTAGACTTCATTGCGGAGTAGTCCTTGCAATACGGCAGAATGGCAATATGGAGGTCAGCAAAGTCAGAAAGGTTATTGGCCACTAGGCTTCCGGACCAGCCGCGCAAATCCAGAGAGAGAGCGGGTGGGCAGAGTCTAGAGAGCCTCACTATCTCAGATTATTTTTTGCATGTTTCGGCCATCGAGTCAAGCTTAAGCCCCTCCTCTCGCCCCGTCTGATAACTGGAGAATTCAGCGGAAAGAATGATGAGACGAGACGTACCGATGCGAAGGTCTTTCAAAGTTCCAAACCGACCCGAACCGACCAACGATGCTGCCCAGTGGTGCCGGCTAAGAGGGTCCTCGCGCGAGGCTTTGCTTCTCAGCTTACGCTCTTGCCCAGGATTACGGATTCCTTCTCATGCTGAGACGATGGACTGTGCTCCAACGTACGGGTGTTGGAAGATATGATTCTGAGCGTAAGAAGGCGAGGGAAAATGAATGTGGCATCGGCCCAAAAACCTAGAGAACCTAGGCGCTGGGTTTTTACATACGAATAGAGTCCCTAAGAAGGACAACACTTGAGGTTCTCTGCTTAGAGTGGCCGGCCATCTCGCTCAATCTTACCTTAATCGAGCTTGACCCGCCATCCCATGTCCCTGAACTCCGACTCTGAGCCAACAGGTCAGAATAGGCTCGTAACACCTGCGGCGCCTGACAGGCTTCCCTTGTAAGGCGCGGCTTCATTGGCTGTGAGAATGTTGACTGCTGTGAGAGTTGATCCTTCAGGAGGATAGCTCCTGTATCCCTATGGAGCAGGAGTGCATGTACGAATACGCCTTTTCCAGCCTCCGTGGTGCTCATCTAGGTATTCGTACCTTGGTGTGAAGGGCACCCCGCCGATGTGCATCCCGCCTTGGTTCGCCGCAAAGCCGCAGGGCAAACGGAACCTCTTCTGGATCCGGCTCCCACGCTGCACTATTGCGCTGCCCACAACCCGCCGTTGGAACCCCATCCGACATGGCCGGTCTGTCCAACGCATGTCGCCGCCGTCAGCTCTACATCAAGATGACACAATATGCTTATGGAGACCAAGACCTTAGCTGCATCTCGGAAAGCTCTTTCGCAGAGAAAGAAAGTAGAAGCGGCCGACAGTCGGACATAGGAAAGCCTCTAGCTCAGCACATTCATCGTAATGATCGCATAACCGTCTTGCTAGTCTCCACTCTCCCAAGCCGAACCCGAGCAAAAGTCCAAGAAGAGGGCTGTTCTCGTGAAAGCTCTCCACCGTACGGATACTTGATTGAGCAGCAGAGACCACGGAAACCTGGAAGAAGGGCGAATAGAAGACTAGACAGGGCGTGGTCGCCAGTTCACGTTTCGCTCGTTGCGCCCGCGGTGGGAACCCGCCCCAGTGGTTATCCCTTCGGTCCACGGCCCAGTCGGGGCTCCGTTCGTCTGTTGCGAAGTGCCGCGCGCAAGTCAGCCAGCGTTGAAGCGCAAGGCATCTCGCAACCCGCCCCCATGACTCGGTTTGCATAAAGGATAAGCCGTGACAGCAAACCCTAAATCAAAGTGTAAATCGCAAGTGAAGGGATGTCCCCTTGAAACGATGCTTCCTTTCACACCCCCCTTGGGGAATAACGATAGACGTCATTCAGGGTCAAATATACCCACCATTGCAATTCGGATAGGAATAGAAACGTAGAGGTTCAGTTACCGGATGTACCGTACGAGGAGGGCAAATATTAGACATCGATCTTAATACTGAGTCCCTTTGGAGAACTCGGATGTACGCTTGGCGTGTCACACGTTCACGACCGCTGGTTACCTTTCGTAGGGTCGCTTCTAGCGCCGGGTTTCCCGCTCAGTAAGCGGCTCAAAAGTCAAGAAGATGACGGCCTTGCTTAGTCACGACATCAAGGCGGCATAGAAGCCAGATGTTTGCTCAACTTCGGAGTATGTGTCATGAAGCTTGTCCAAGTCGCCGAGGGCGCAAGCTTAGCTCAGCTTCGCCATCAGCGTGTCGAGTGAGGCAATGTACTACTTTGGGAGATTCTGTCATTCCAACATAAATGTAGCCGACTGGTGGGCACACCATCTGTGAGTTAGACTCGGCGCCACCACCACCACCGGTGAGCCAAGCTTCTCGGGTGATGCACCTGGAATGCGGCCATCCAATGTATTAGTCGACACATTTGGTGGATGCATCATTGCTATGTCTGTTATTCGTTCGGGAAGATTTTGAAACGCAGATAGAAGCGAGAGGTATGGCCCTTCCACCAGCGAAAATCCTTCTAACTTTTTTGTCACAGTTCAATAGGTAGGATGGGATGGATCGGCTCTGGCACAGTTCATCCTGTTTCCGCAGAGCCTATCAGCACATTCGGTGCCAACAGTCAGTTTGAGCAACCGCTTGCCTGTAGCTCACAACCTCGATGTTGGTGAAGTGCAGCATTGGCAGAGAGCTTATATGCGGTACCTGTCGGGTTGAAAGCCGGGCTAAGGCGTGCATGTTTTGAAGCTGCAGGCCCTCATCCTACGAGTGAAGAACTCCATCCTACAACAAGGCAGCTGAGAAGAATCCATCTTTCCGTCCTGTATTTGGAGGGACGCCTCTTGATGCCTAGCGACGGCCCTACATTGACCAAGATGGGAGAGGCGGCCGGTACCGCAACAACTTCAAGCGAAGACGGGCCGCGGACGCGGGCTCAGCCTGATCGGTGAGGTGCTCATCCCCGTACGCCTATCCCAAGAGAGCATTCAAGGCCGACCTACATATCAAAAAGTGCAGCCTACATGGTTCAGGAAGTCGTCTTATTGAAGAGGCGACTGCTTCATCATTCTGAGAAGCATGCAGCGTGGAGTCTGTGGGCGAGATCGGGCGCCAGGACTACATGTAGCCATTTGAGCCAGGAACCGGTTTGCTGGGTCTGCGGACTTCCACTCAGCTCGCTAGAAGAACCGCCGTATGATTTCATCTTTCAAAGCCCATCACGCTTCACCTTCCCTAGGTCGGCAGGACCAGCGATACCGCGTACACGCTGGCGAATTCGGGAAGCTAGCCGGGATACCGCTGTCGCCATTGGCGGTACAGGTCATCGAACGTCGGATGAGAGTTTGCGAATCGCGAGAAGTAAGTCGTCCGCGATCACAGACGCATCACATCATCACACCATCGCCCTTGGAGCAAGGTGAACAGTTGCCACGAGCAATCCTCTCAAAGACTGATGATGGGATTCTCTACGGACACGTAAAGTAAAGGCCCCAAGTGAACAACTGACCATCCGAGAATGTGATGTATGGGTAAAGTCGATGACGAGCTCCTGAGCTTAACCTGAACGTGCCTTACTGAGCTTTCACGCCTGCTCGTATAGACTCCACGCCTCTCTCCATCTTGCACACCAAGGTAAGTGGACCAACCATCAACCGAGTATCCGGATATGGGACTGTTGAGTTTTCAGACAACAAAATGAAGATCCTGGTAGATTTGCCGTATATGCAAGGTCAATGATAATGGCATCCCCGCTGTCTAGTGACTTCCGTTGGACTAGGTGTACGAACTTCTGTATCAGTGATCATTCCCTGTAACATGAGCCATGAGCTGGGTATTTCACTGTTGCCTGGCGATGTCCAAAAAGAGTCTGTACGGCGTGAAAATTCTCACTTGATGATCCTTCGCCCGACAACGAAAGCCTCCAGCTCCTCTTCGATCCTCTCACATCGAGAATGGCAGGTGCCTGGCGATGAGAAGTCCACGACGGGTGTGCGGCGGCGTCGGTGACTGATGGCTGACATGGGATGAAGGGGACCCGCTTGAGCGGCACAGAACGATGCCCGGCCACGAAAATGAAGACTCTAATCTGAACGGGCGGATGCCCGGATACGTCGGCGGCCCTTGGAGAAGATCCAACCGTTCCCCCTCCTCATACCAAAGGTCCCCTACAGTCCCGAAAGATTGGCAGCCTAACTCCGTAGAGAGACAACACTAAACCAACTGCTCTAGTGCCGTTTGGTCACCGGATTGATGCATTGGCATTGAGGCAGTGCTGGACCACCCCCTCTCCGAGTCCCCAGTTCCAGCCGAGCCAAGACCAGCCAGTCAGACTCGATGAGATGAGATTTTGGGGGTGTTGAAGCCTTGGAAGGATTTGTTGGACGCTGGGCGAATCCACGGCCCCGATACGAACGGTTATCTAAACCAACGCCGGTGCTTGGTGAGGTTGGGACACTCTATCGCCCGTATACCACCGGCGGCGCCCTGACTACTGGACGAGAGCCGCCGCCAATGAACCCCGAAGCCTGGGGCGCCTGCTCGGATACGTCTTGGCAACCCTGCTTGTCAAATTAAAAAAAAAAAAAAAAAAAAAAAAAAAAGGGTTTGTTGATGGTTGTCAATGTGAACCGGCGTCTTCGGGGCGGTTCTAACTTCCGACATACTCACTGGTCGCCAGCATCGTCCCTGTGGTAGAGATATCCCTTGCTTCGTGCTCGCAGGTTACAAACTATGTTCTCTATGCTGACCAGTATGAACCTCAACATCCCATGTAGGAAAGCAGAAGAACTTCAGCTGCGTAAGGCGGCAGAACGCAGTCGTCCACTTAGTGTTGGAAACTAGCATCGAAAAGGATGTGCGAGCGCTTGCGAGAGACAAATAAATGGGCCGGTGTGATGAAGTCACGCACCTTGCCTGTCGGTGTCAGGCCACCCAGGAGAGGATGAAAAACATAAACCTCAGCCAAAGAAGTTTAGTTCCCCTTGTTGGATTCGTGACCAACACCAACACCAAGTTCCAACAAGACAGACGGGCGTTGGTGCGCCATCCGTCCAACCAACTCTGGTGTGTGTGTGAGTGAGAACTAAGAAGACAGAAGAATGGCGCACAGGCCGTGACACTCCCTAGCTACCTTACGCAGGCTTCCTCGGCTGCTTGGCTTGGGGGGTCTTTTTCCCTCTTCCCACCGGGATCCCGAAGGTGTGCTTAAGCTTAATTCGATACTCAAATGTCAGCCACCACGCCATATCGGCCTTCATTCGTTCGATGGAATTCCGGGTTGCGCCCCACACACAGTCATTCTTCTGTTGCTTTTTGCTCTCTTCTGGGTCTCGTTATCCCCTGCTTGCTTCCGAAAGCGAATGCTGCTTCCGCGGTGGAGAGAGAGAAAAGGCCCTGTCGGCTGCCCTGGCATACCTGGATTTTGAACAATAACCCGCGGCGTAATAAGGATTCAGGGGGCGGTTCGCCAAATCATACATCATCAAAAACCATGTAGGATTGAGGAGCGGTTGGTCTATTTTGCTGACGCGGCCACCACCCCCGGAGCAAATCTTTCTAGTCTCTGAAAAAGGAGCAATGCCAAAAAGGAGGATGGGAAGATACGGATAAAAAAATGCGCACTAAATCATCGACGGCGGGGAACTATCGATAGCGCCATCCTAGATTCCCTCGTGGCATTGGGAATGGAATGCGCGCCGGCAATATCGGTTCCGCTTGTTCCTCTTCGTATGGATATTCCCGCATCCCATCCGTCCAATGTCTATCACCACAACCGACTACGAATACAGTCGGCGTCCGTCTTCTTTGATAGCCCCTCACACCTTTCGGATTGTGGGGAGTCGACGGGTGATGCTCAGCTGCCAGGTTGCAGCAGTGGGCACATTCTCAACTAACTTGACCAAAGTGACAAGTGTCAAGAACGGGAGAGACGCCGTTCTCGACTGCCGCGTGGGCAAAAAATGTGCCTCATCCCCACGTCGGACGGTCGCCGTGCTGTTTTCAAGATGCTTGGCTACGGATGGCAGTCTGCCAGTCAAGGTCTTGGTTGTTGACGTCCCCCACTTCAGGCGAAGCTTTTGCTGATCTTCCTGTCCCCTTTCGGGTGCTGAGTAGGTGCCACTTACTCTCTTTCGGTTTTCTGACATGGACTCGAAGCCTTGTCTCTAGAGACCAGAGGAACTGTAGCATCCATCTCCCTGTTATGGTGATGAAGGGCAAGGCGGGCGGGCACGCAGGTCAGCAGTCCTTTGACTCGGGCAGTTCATCGAGAACAATGCCCGGCTGGGGGCTCGGTGATGTGTGCCCTGTCTACTCCGTGCCCAATCTAGTAGATCGAAACCGAGCTGGACGCCAAACGTTCGCGTTCTTGTCTTTCATAAACAGCTCGTGCCAAGCATCTTGGGTGATGCTTGGCAGAGTTGGCGTGCGCATATCATATCAGGAAGGGCGTCCGTCCATCTCGTTCTCGAGAGAAAGCTAAAGGGGGCACTCGGTGGTCACCACACTGACTTCAGCGGTGCTGGAACAAAGAGGTGGTAGCCGTTAAAGGCCCCAAGAGAGGCTCATGGCCTTGGCGTCACCATAATATCACGATCTTCGATGATCATTGCTCACGATCTGTCTTGTTTTCCGAGGGATTCCCAGACTCCAGAACACTGCCACACAATCTCCATCCAGTGTCTCGCCCATTATAGGAACGTAATTTGCCTGTGCCGAGGACGCATTCCACGGCGAACAATCAATCAAACTTTGCTATCCGAGGGACGGAATATCCCTTGCTGGCGCATATTCGTCGTCGATTTGAAGACTTGACCAGTCTATTCTAGTCTGAAAAGAATAGGATCAAAGAGGCAGCCGCAGAGCATCTTGATAGCAGAGATGGCGGCCTCCATTTCCGTAGTCACATCCGCAATCAAAAGAGTCGGGGAGCCGTGTAAATGGTATATCAGCTGCGGCACTGAGCACATTCTAAGTGATTCCTGAAATCCTGGAGCCGAAATACTGCTCAATATCAAACCATCAATAACAAAGAGGTCATCCTGCAGATAATCATGCTCGACGAGGTCAACAACCTTGTATGCTTGGGAGGGCTAGTGACTACTTCTCCTAAACAGCACTTATGGTAACAATCCAAGAAGTGACGCAACAAGTAATTGATATGTCTAGATATATCGGGTATTGGATTGTACAGGTGTTGATACAGAGTCCGGAGTCGTGTCATGTGGCACCAGACGCAAGATCATGGGCAAATTACAAAAGATTTAAACATGTGTTCCGTGAAATTTGAGGGTATGTGGTCGAAGATAGGGACGGCTTTGGTCAACGATAACCAACCCAAGTGATGCTCCGTGACTCTCAATTCTGACGGCGGCCTGCCTAGGCCCATCCGTCATTTTGATGGGCGACTTGAGATCGCCTTCAACATCGGCTTGCACAACCCTGTAATGTAGGTGGTCTGATTCGCGTTGCATACCATGTGAGACCGAGCCACTGGATGCTTGGTCCCTTCCGTCGTACAACGTCGCGTGATTATCCCATGGGTATCGAATTCTGTCAACTGCAAGCCACGGTGTACATAGCTTTGAGCTTTGCAATCAGGTCTCAGACGTCGCGCTTGGCAGCTCAAGAGCATGGTGCACATGCACAAGGCGACTCAAGGTCGACCATCTCAATGCCAAGTGAGGTTGCACAAACATCACGCATCGCCGTGCAACTTCTGTCGTACTGGTTTCATCAACCCCGTCTTCCAGAATCCCAGGTAGGCAAAGCTTAACGAGGCACCGCATCGTGAGTTGGTATGACTTGGGCCCCGGTTCATCCTAGACTGTCCTCTGACCACCTTAGCAGTCGCACCGGCCAAACCAGCGTGGAAAAGCCACAACGTCTCTGACATTAGGTACTCCCACAAGATAACTCAGCAATCTATCGAAGCCCAGGCCAAAGCCGCCGTGTGGATTGGATCCCCAACGACGGAGGTCAACATACCACTCGAGATCGCTGCCGTTGGTGTCATCGCGTCCGCCATCAGCTGGAGAGCCCATGCCGCGAGCCTTCATAGTCTCCAACAAGTCCGTCAAGCGATGCTCACGCATTGAGCCGCCGGCAATCTCGCACAAATCGGGGACCAGAAGATCAAAGCAGTCGACTGTGTCACCTGGCAGATCATGACCGGAAGTTGCGGTGTCTGATTTCCTCATGTAGAATGCTTTGATCGCCCGAGGGTAGTGGGTAACGAAGACGGGAGAATAGGCAGAGGAGTCGCTGGTGGCACCGAGAGTTTTGGCGAGGAACTTTTCATGCTCAGAATGCAGGCCGCTTTCCCATGTAGGCTTGATCTCGAACTGATGTTCTTCTGCCTGAAGCAATTTGATCGCATCGGCGTATGTGATGCGTGGCCATCTGGAAGCTGGGCTCTGCATCATCCCCTTCCAACGGCGCTCCACTTCGTCGATCGGAACCAGGTCATCTTCCGCTGTTCGTTTCTCTCCGGGCGCATGTCGTTGTCGCAGTTCTTGCGCAGCGCGAGTCTGATATAAGCCAGTGACCAAACTACGGAGCATGTCTTCAACGAGGTTTGTGACTTCGTCCAACTCATCGACGAAGCTCATCTCCGCCTCCAGCATGTAGAACTCGCTCATGTGTCTTGAGGTGTCGCTCCGCTCCGCTCGGAAGGTCGGCGATAATGTCCATACATGCCCCAGAGACTGAGCTAACGCCTCAAGATGAAGCTGAGTGGACACCGTCAAGTACTTTGGCGAGCGGAAGAACATGTTTGCTGGCTTGTCCTTGCCCGTATTCGAGATTGCGGGTGTCTCGGTCGAGCCCGTAGCAACGTTGAAGACCTCGCCTGCCCCTTCGCAATCTGAAGATGTGATGATGGGCGGATGAGTTTGGGTAAAGTCTCGAGAGGCGAAGAACTGAGTCAACAACGCGACGGCTTCTGATCTCAATCGCAAGATTGCGGCATTCAGTGGTATCCTGGTTCGAAGATGGGGCATGGTGCGAAGGTAGTCGGGTGTTTGGTACTTCTTCTGAATCGGGAACGTCTGGGTTCAATGACGGCATTAGCGATAGTTCAGAGAAAAGAAGAAGGGCAGTGAGCCTACCTTTGCGTCAGAGGGGCCTAGGATTTCGACATGATCGACTTTCAACTCGTGACTTTGACCGTCTGTTTTGGAGGGAGTCCAGACACCCCGTAGGCGGACTGCTGCACCGACTCGCAGGTTTGCGCTGGGAGATTATCAGCAATCACGGCTTCCGAGACAGTGGCCAAGCTTGGGGATCTGAGAGGGACACACCTTTCTTCGTCGCTCCTTGATACCAGTGCCTGGATAGGCGACCGTGAGGAACCGTCGCCAATATTGACGAATCGATCTGTCTTCATGTTGCGAACAGACCGGACGTATCCATTGACGACAACATCTTTGACTTCGGTTTCGGGCTTCCACTCTAGAAATTGGGCTACTGTTCTCCGTGGTGCTGTAGAGAGGTATCGTCTGTGGATGGGTTGGACAAGGAGCCAAGATGGGCGCGCAAGCTTGCGCAAAGGGAATGTTGCCGCAGTTCGCATGATGAAGATAACTTGGGATCTGTCAGACTACCGCGTCATGTTGTGGAAATCGAAGCATTCGACCCTCGTGATCTGCCAACAGCAGGGGTGAATGGTATAGTTGGACAGCGGAGGGGTTGCGACTACAAGGAAAGGAACGACGTCTTTCGCGACGACATGCGACGGATGACTGAGGTCGGAGCTTGAGAAAAAGTCTACGAATGGGAAGCTTCAATTCACCTAAGTGGGGCCCCTCGGTATGTTAAAGTAGAAATACTTATGATCGAACCTACGCTGTGCATATAAGAGGGTTCCTGGACTTCCTGCAGCTTTCCCAGGTTCTGGAGATAAGATAAGATAGGAAGCAGTCTTATCGGTGGAAACTCCCGGGGACCTACGCAAGGTACGTACCGCCGAGTTGTCTCCTCGACGGCCAAAATACCTTAGCCACCACAGCTCCTCCCGTCTGCATCCCTCCACACCACAAACATCTCCTCTCGAATCGGATGACATCCCCGGCACTTCACGTCTCCCCCATACTCCAGCTCTAGGCCTTCTCTCTCTACGATTTGAATAAGACTTGTTATTGCCAAATGTCCACCTTAAACGCACCATGCCTGATCCATATCCCGGTCCGACTTGTAATCGCAAGAACCTGGGCTTCGAGTCCTTGTCTGGCTGATCGAGTCCAATTATTGACAGAATTCAACATTTCATCAGCTCCGCCCTCGACTCCCGAGACACCAAACACCGGACACGGGTGACGACTTCGGGATAATGCAGTTGTTGGCTAGCAACCCCATGACATGGATCTGGAATCCAATCGAGTACAGTCTTTTCTTCTTGGTCCCAAACTTCGTCTCCCTTCAGATCGAGGCCGCAAACCCAAGTCGGAACCTGTCTGCAAGTCATGGAGAGCATGGATCCGCATCCTCGGCGGGTAAACAGACACCCAACGTAGCCTTGTCACCTCCCATCGATATTTTGCCTCACTTCCAAGATGTGCTCACATCTCTCTTCATTGCGCCCAACCTTTGGACAGGCAGCCCTGCCTAGTGGGGGCCCAAGAACCATGAAGCTGGGTTTTTTGCTTCTTCCATGCCAGCTTATTGCTTATTAGCCCGCGGTCTAAACAAGGCACGGCACGGGCTGCTGGGACTCGCAACTATTCTCCCTCGCCATCTTTCCCTACTTTAGCTCCCGCCCCGCCCAAACTGTCTTCAGACCCTAGATACGGATACCTCGCCTTAGCCAACAAGATATGTACGGACCCTAACTTCGACCCCCCCGGTTGCACTGCTTGCTCCCATCGCCCTATCCCGGCTCGCAAGAACGCCTCAAGTGAGATCTTGGGAAACAGGAAGATCTCGTATAACTGCGGCAGATTGCAGTAGTAACTCGATCGGATCCCACCTACCAAGACCACGGGAAGACTGACGTGACACGACCCGGGTTTCTGTACAAGCAAGACATATCTCATCACAACCACGGCAAGCCCACCCACCCTTTACGCGCCCTTCCTATACACTACCCTGGAATGTCGCAGACTTGACTGAGATCCGGCAAGTATTGGTAACACTCTCCCATACACCCTTCACCGCCCTCGCTTCCTGGAGAGGCGAAGCAATTCATTCCTCTGCAAAGGGGCCCAAGATACCTCACCATGCTATTGTTTCTTTTCTTCCTTCCCGCGCTCCTGGTCTACAAGCCGCAGCTAGAGTTGCCTCCCGAGCGACTCTTCATTGCTAGGGGACGTATTTAAAGCCACGAGTGTACCCCACGGTTGGTGCCTCCCTGATCTCTTATTCCCAAGTCATACTCGCCGCATTGCGTCTGATCAAGGATCAAATCTACACAGCAACTCGACTTTCGTCACCGCCCCAAGAATTTCTTTGGCCTGCGTTCGCAAGCTTACAATGCCTTCCTCGAAGCCTTTGAAAATCAAGCCCTCCGAGGTTGCGGCGGACACCAAGAAGAAACTGATCCCAGAAGTCAACAGATACTTCCGCGAGGAGTGGCCCCCATACTCAGTTCTCTACTCTCAGCCGCTACTCCAGCTTCCGCTCAGCCGCCCGGCCTTCATGAGCTCAGACTTACCCAACTTCTGTAAGACTCACCCATGGCCGTCATCGATTGTGATTCGGAGCCACAGCTAACCATGGCAGATGTCGTGCATAGCGATCCTGTAGACTGCGCACTGGGCTGGGCTCAAAGTGAAGGAGTTCGGATCCCCTTCATCTGCGCCGCGAACGAGAAGCGACCCGGAGGTGATTGGGAGACAGGTGTTGTCGGTTACGAGGTATGTCGTCGATGGTGCGCCTTGTATAACACAACTCTGACTCGACGCGTTATGTAGGAGAGATTATGCCGTCGCAGCAATCTGTCAGCAACGTTGGGGTCTCCCCATCCGGATACATGCATGCCAACCAACTACCCGATCCCGATCGAAGGAGCCATCTATTCTCCCGATGTTGGTAGGCACATGCGTACTACCTAGCATCTTGGTCATTCTTGACTAATGAAGTGTGCAGTTCGTTTCCGCCAGTTTCAAGATAGGATCGAGTCATTGGATATGAAAGATTGGAGGTCGCTGCCAGTTATTTCTATGCCGCCAGCTCGGTGGCCGAAGCTCACAGACATGGGACGAAAGTACTCTTTTTCGGAAGAGCGAGAATTGGTACGGAACAAGATGCGCGCCGCCTTGCGAATCTGCGTGTTCAACGGCTACAACCACGTTGTGATCGGCGACTTTGGCCTTGGCAATGGCTACCGCAACCCGCCCAAGGAGCTGGCGGAGTTGTGGCGCGAAGTCTTTCTCTACGACCCAGAATTGAGGGGCCAGTTTCTCGCCGTCATGTTCGCTTTCGAAGACGACAGACAGTGCACAGCCAAGTTCATCCTCGATGACATCGCCAAGAAGACGAAAGGGAGCAGCAGCAGCAGCTCTTCGAAAAGCAAGTCAAAGAGCTCGTCGTCATCAAGTTCAAGCGGCAGTTCATCCAGTCATAAAAGCGACTTCAAAATCTTCAGCGAAATCTTCGCGACGAGCGAGATAGCTAGAGTTCGGAGCCAACCTGACCCACGCTACGCCTTCTCTGCAATTATGGATGGGTCTTGACCGATTTGCTCTTGGCGCATCCTCGACCGGGTTAATGTCTCACTCATGGGTACTCGATGTAAGCCGGTGAGACCTGGCCGTACGTCAGGCTGGCTGAGGCGGTATACCCTGGGCAGAGTCTTGTCTCGCCGTACGACCTGTCATGTCAACACATGGCTACAAGAAAGGTGTTTTATGTCTCGCAACACAGGCTTTTCAGCACTACTAACGACTGATTCCCTGTCCAAGTGCGTTGATTGGTCCGCAATGACCTGGCAGGGGGATCTATTTTTTGCATTATTCGACCGGGCTTTCAGTTCAGCGGCCCACGCTGGTTGCTTTTTCTGCCCTTGCACGTCGGGCTGAAGCTACTTGCGATCTCGAGGGTCCCCGGATCTACAACGTCGGGCGTCGATTGCCTGTTCCGGCCAGTGAGCTCGGAGGGCTTCAATAGTGGTCTTTAAAGTTGTCTGCCTATTTCCTTTTTTTTATTCATCTCGATTTTCGCGGGAATTTGCTTGCTCTCACTGGTGAACATCATCATACGGTTGACTTCGGGTTGGCGGCGTTGGGAGTGGTAGGACAAAATGGCTAGATCCGATGTGATTGGGACCTAGAAGCTTTTGCAGGTGTCTGGCGTATTCTTCTGGTTCAAATCACAAATCCCTTCATATTCCATATCCGGAAGCAATTTTCAAGCATGATTGAAATCTCCCTCTTCCCTTTGCGCAACACGGTTCGCTCCAAAGATGTAGGGGCGACTGGACGTAGGGATAGGCATGGCGCGCGCAATTCTGTTGTCCAGTGGCCATTGGTGTGTGGAAAAGCATTGCCTTGCCGCAGCCGCCTAGTCTTCACCCTAGCAACGCGACCCTCCGGAAGGGCCTGGCATTCCATGCCAACGACAGCCTTGGCCACTGTGCTTGCTCAGCAGAACCCAGAGAAGGTTGACTCCCGGTGCCCCGCCAAGCCGAAGAAGGTAGTCAGACAGACCAAAGGGGAGAAATGCCTTCAGCAAGACTGGATAGCGGTACACTATTTCGACCCGAAATCCTCGCGCCTGAAGAGTTTGAGTTGAATGCTGAGGCTCTCGCCCAAAACGTCTTAGCAAGAACGGCAAGGTTAACATCCGCGACCATTGGAATGGGCCAGAGTCGCTTGTTCAGCCCGCTCCTCTATCGAATTCGTAATCGACATGTCCAAGTCATACTAAAGTGTTTGCCTAGGCACGTGCCGCGGCGCCACTTGACGAGAAAAAGCAAGCATACAGAAAGGCTCACCTGTCTTGCCCGTTTACCGGCAGCAAACCTTGGCTCTCCAACGAACACTCAAGAATCGGTGTCTCTGAAGGGATGAAAGAAAGAGCGGGAGCCTCTGACATGGTCTTCCCAATACCACGGTCGGTCAGGCTGACGAAGAACGATAGGCCGTCAGAGCTGAACATCCGAGGGTGGAGGGATCTTCGACCAGGATGGTGAGTGGCTATTGGAGGGCTGAGAAGACATCCATGTTTGCTTTTCCGGGAGCTGACATGATCTCAGGCGCAAACAACTCTGCATATGTCCTCGTCATGATAGAAAAAAAAGTCTACCGCTACCCCGAAATCCAAATACCTCACCCCTGCCTGCATGCCAGATCTTGAGCGGGACATTCGATCGGCTGGAACTTTGGGTATCACTGCGTTGGCTCTCCCCATGACGACCCCCCACCCTCACCTACACAAGCAATGGGCTCTTTTCCCTCCCCTCTTGAGAGACAATACTGACTCTGGACACTGGTAAGGTGGCCCTTTGAGGCGGGGAGGATCCGAGAAGACTATGAGAAGTCTATCACTTCTCAATTTTCCGAACCACCAGATGGTTGATCCGAGGCATCTTGCCTGTGACACATAGTACGGCCGAAATGCGCAAGACCCGTTACGGCCTTTATCTACGGGTAGAGATTTCGTGGGCCACGAGATTCCCGCCTTTGCACTTCTTATCCAAACATACGACGAACCTGCCTCCCTGCCTTGCTACCCGACTGACGGGGACACCACCCCAGAGATCCCAAAGACTTTGGAAGTCATAGGGAGGGTCGCGGGTTAGAAAGAGGGTTTATCTTTCGAACCCCTGGAACCGGGGGCTGACGCCACCAGGGCCCGACCACGCGGGACCGGAGGGCACTCCGCGGTCGAACATCCCACAGCCCTCTTCAAATGCTAGCCCTTGCATAGTCCCCTACCATCCAATCACACCTCATTAGCTCAGGCGAGAGGTGCCGAGCTGGACTCCCTGCCAATACCCCGATGTGGTCAGTTACACCAGACACAGACATCGACGGAGGAGGGGCGGGGGTGAAGATGCGAAAGACATTCCGCGAGGACTATCTCCATTCAGGGAGAGTGTCCAATGCGAGAGGTATCTCAAGTCTACACTTTCTCTCTCTTGCTGTCCTTCCCCCCCAAGTGCCCCCTCTCTGCCCGCGCGGCAGTCAAGGGATACACTGGCGTCGCTTTGGAACTAAGTTTAGTGGGCAAATTCTGCCTTTTCTTCAAACTCTTCATGAAGTGGTTTCCCGTTCTAGGCTGGGGGCTAAGAAATGATTGCTAGCGCAGAGTTGTCGTCATGCCCCTCTTCTCTCTCTCCTCCCCCTGTATCATCAATGATGAATCTCTTGCCGCGTGCATGTTGATCCTTGGACGCTGCATTGGACTCGTGAATGGCATGGGTGTGCGGGTGATCGCTGCTGCGTCGACGCCCAACCCGTCGTGCAGCATGACATGATACTCGACGGATAAAAGGAGTGGGACAAGGCGGCAAACCACCTTCTTTTCGCTCTCCCAACGGGAGGACCCAAAACATCATGTGCGGCAGAGCATCAGAGACTTTCTCGTGGTACATCATCATTTATCACGGCTCACCGCTTTGAGGATGAGAGACATGTAGGGCGGTGACCATGCCCACCGCTAACGCTTCCTCTTCTGGCACTTTGAGCCGCCCAAAATAAGACGAGGCGTTCCCGGATGGAGATCCCGCCTTGCGTTGGGGAATGGAGGGTTTTTGCTTGTCTACGGGTGGACTACCTACCTAGGTATTTCCCCCTCCCTCCTCTGAGACATGCATGTAAGCCTCATCGGGGAGAAGAGGTCGGCACGGTCGGTCGGTCGTGGGTAGGCAAGGTAGGCGAGGAAGAAGAAAAAAACGTATCGATCTTCGTCAGGGATCACGGATTTGCTGCAGCTGCGCGTAGATCAGCTAGATGAACACCCCGACCACCTACCGAATCCATCAATGCCGTTTCCTGCTGCCTGCCTGCCCGCCTTTCTATCCCGAGCGCCAGATTGACGGGGGTGAAGGAGGAAGCAGAGAGGCCCAGCCCGTCGCGGGTCGGTCGTCTCATATTGGACCCGTCCAGATTATGCACATCAACCTGACCCTGGTGTACCGAGAGAAACCTGCCATCTGGAGTTTGGGAGACGAGTGGGGAATACGGGAGACGGGATGGGGGGGCTCGGAGAGAAGTAGTATGGGTAAGCAGCCTTGGTGAGCTAATAGAAGGCCACTCGGGAGGCTGCATGTTTCAAGGCCCTCAGACCCAACGACGTCCAGTCGTTGGTGTCCTGTGCTATCATTTCGTCTTGCCTATCCTCGTTCCATCGGGCCTACCTTTATGCCGGCGTGGAAAACGGCCTAGGGAAATGAGGTACGGCGGGTAGCGACGCCGTATGACCAGAAAGTGAGCAAACTTGGAAAGGTAAATAAACAATCGCGCTGGCTGTTAGGAGTAGGCAGGAACAGCATTGCGGAGATGTTCCCAGCACGCCTCCAACGGTCTAACGAATTGTACAGACACTACAAAGCCAGAAAGCCACCGGCTTCGTGTCTCAGAAACCTTGAGCAAACGTCATTTACCGAGGGAAGCAGGTTTACACAAAAGCGCGATGAGATTTGACCGTGACCAGCAATTCCCCGCCCCTTCGAATTCTCCCACCCGGGTGATGTCGTGCGAAGCTTGGCGGAGGGAACTATGGATTGGGTGGTGCATCTCGGGCGGTCTTCATTCCTCTATGATTACTCCCGTGCTTGAGTGTGTTCATATTTAGACACTGGTGTTCCGTCAACCATCACATTTCACATCTCACAGTTTTGTATCAGATTTTGTGCGAATATGAGGGTGTGAGTGAGATCCTGGCTTTGCTTTCAATGGAATCCGGTGGAGTATGCCATGGAGTCTTGAAATTATTCATCTGGGTGTGCCATTATGCCATACTGCATGGCCCAACCTAGAAAGAGAAGTACAAGACTTGTTTTCAATGGTGTTGAACGCAAGCCGGGAGGGATACAGAAATTCTCAATGGGCTGCGGTCGCACTCGCGGCTGCAGGTTGCTGGATGAGATGTCATGAAGCATGCGCAGGAAATGGGTATCCAAGGGGATAGAGTGACCAGAATCGTGAATGTCCTCCAACAAGCATCGTCCGTTGTAGTCGATGGCCGAGCGGTACAATTCCAGCCTTGAATAGGTGGAAGCGTATGTTGGCTCACGGTCCTACATAATGCCATGGATAGCTTGTTTTTTTGTCATTTTCCGCCATAGTAATTTTGGTGGCGGGCAATGTTTGGCCTCGTGACTTGTTGTTTGGGTAGGTCCCGGTACTTCATGGAATACACGGAATACCATCACATGTTTCGAGACGTCGCGGGTTCGAGTTGAGGTCTCCTCGCGACTTCTTCCATTTTTTTTTTGGGTATATTTCGCTATTGAGGAAGGATCTCTACTGACTGAGATGAAACATAATGATAGCTGTGCTTGGGAGACTGCAGTGTTGCCTCTCGGAACGGCTCTCCAGATCAAGAGACAATGCTTTCTCCAGGAAAGACCGGTAGGCTGGACCCTGCAGTCTAGTCTCCGCGGGTGGAGTGCTAATACTGAGGCGACGAGACCACGACGTGGCTTTGGCAGTGGCCATCGTGGGAGTCAGCGCACACGTATTGGCCTGGGAAGTAGGGACGTTGATCTTCGAAATTTTCCTTGAAGATG